CCATGCTTAAGGTGTGAGTGGGTTACATCGAATGGTGCACATGACGAAGGGTAGGAGTAGAATATTCCATGCTTAAGGTGTGAGTGGGTTACATCAATTGGAGCACATGACCAAGGGTAGGGGTAGAATATCCCATGCTTAAGGTATGTGAGGGTTACATCGAATGGTGCACAAGACCGAGGGTAGGGGTAGAATATCCCATGCTTAAGGTGTGGGTGGGTTACATCGAATGGTGTACATGACCAAGGGTAGGGGTAGAATATTCCATGCCTAAGGTGTGGGTGGGTTACATCGAATGGTGCACATGTCCTAAAAGGTACTCAAGTTATAGATCCTGTTTAACTCGTTTTTCGTTTGGTTTTCCATGTTCATTAATTTTCTAAGCGTCGCTTTGCTGGGTATAAAATCGAAGAAGGAGCCAACTGGATCCACTCTTACACAGACGAAGACACCAAGCCGCTATGGTATCTAAAGCTAAAGACAGGTCTAAAGGGTATACAAAGTGACTGGGAAGACTTGATCATGAGGTATATATACGATGGTTGTATAGTAAATGTTGTTTGTTTTGGTTATATAGTAATAGTAGAGTGCAAACAATTAATCCGTGAAACACTAATTACTAAATAGTACAAAATAGTGCTAATTAAACAATAGAAAACAATTGAATTTGCATGAAATTGTGCTATTTATTATTACTAAAGTTTCACGGTTATACTGTTTCCACTCTAGTAGTGGTAGTGGTAGTGGTGGGCGTAGTGGTGGGTGCAGTGGCAGTGGCATTGGTGGGGGTAGTGGTGGGGGCAGTGGTAGTGGCAGTGGTGGTAGTGGTAGTGGCAGTGGTGGTAGTAGTAGTGGTAGTGGTAGTAGTGGTGGTAGTGGCAGTGGCAGTGGTAGTGGTAGTAGTAAACATTGTTGTAGTAGAGTGAAAGTAAAGTGCATTAGTCTAATATATCTTTTTCATGGGTTTACTAAATTCACTCTAAATACTAAAGGTTCTTTTTATTACCTTCTTTCACAGGAACGACAAAGGTCAGAACGTCACCGACTGGGCAACCTATGACTTATACGACAAGCTGGTGTCAAGCATTGAATCGTTACGAGAGGAAAGAGAAAAGCAGAAAAAGCCACCGATCTCGGCCCGCGTTGCATTAGGTCTACTGGGCTGGAGACCATCTAACCCTGTACGACAAGCAATCGAATACTTCAATGTTGACTTTGAATTCGGCGAAAAACCAGGCGAGGTTCCTTACAGTGAGATAGGACCCGAACAAGTGGACTTTTTCGTAACGGACCAGAGAGGAATGATCACTCTCTACCGAGGAATATACCAGAAGTTCAGAAATAAAATCAAACTGAGAAGGGCAGTGAAGGAAATCAAGTACAGCTCGAGTGGCGTAGAGGTAATCAATGAGTCTAAAGATAGAATATTGACGTAGAAATAACATCACTGAAAAATTTACCTACATTACGCATCAGTGTTCTTATATCACTGAAAAGCTGAGGTGTTACGAAAAAGCCTGCAAAAAAGCCTGCCCGCATTGCAATAAGAATATATAACTCGTTATTCATTGTGCCATGCATTAGAGTTATCAAGCGGTTATTGGCAAATTTATTTTTTCGTTTGGTGGGCTCAAAATCCATAATTTCAAGAGCAAAAAGGGACACCTGAGTTTTGTAAATTTTCTCCATTCTGATTGGCTAACATTTCTTTCCCAGATCAGCTGGTTAACCATAACATGATTACGGATACCACGACCATTTTCAAACATAAAACTTGCCTATAGCTGAATCACATTACTGAATTTTTCACATTTCAGGTAACCACCTCAAGAGGAGAGGTTTATACAGCAGACTACGCTATTTGTACATTCAGTACAGGAGTTCTCGCCAGTGACTTGGTCACATTCAATCCTCCATTACCTGAATGGAAACGAGAAGCCATCTTGAAAATGCCCATGTCTATATTCACCAAAATTTTCCTAAAATTCCCTTACAAATTTTGGGACGACAACGAGTTTGTCATGCATGCTGCTAGCCAGCGAGGGTACTTTCCAGTTTTTCAGGTTTGTAACTGACACTTTTAAAACGTCATTTTACATCTAACAAGGCAACCCAGTAGGAATGCCATTTTACGATTGGTCTACGAGGCAGCCCAGTAAGAATGTGTTCAGTGTCAAATCAAAGACACTCGTAAGGAATGCTAACTGCCTATTTCAAAATTTTCACATTTTTTCCTTGCAAAAAAAAAATTACGCTGATGGAATTAAATTAGCCATGAATTTGAGGCTTGTTATAATTTTGAAGAGCTTAATTGCAAGTGATTTCACACACCCATCATCATCAACACCACCATCGTCACTATCGTCAACATCTGCATTATCATCATCATCATCATAAGCCCTATCAACATTTCCATCATCGTCATCAAAACCGATCACCACCATCATCACCATGAGAATCGTCATCATCGCCGTCATCATCATCATCATCATCATCATATAGAAAGATTTCTACTACCATTATCATGGATAGGTTCGACATTATCTATATTGTAGGACGTTTTTTGCTTCATAACATAGCTACTATAAAATCTGTTATACATGCAATTTTATGACCCAATATTCTACATTTCTCACTACTAGAATCTTGCGAAAAAAGGCTTTTTCCCCGGCAGTGGACTGATGCTAATGGTTGTGACAGAAGATGTTGCAAGAAGAATCGAGAATCAATCTTTTAGGAAAACCAGAGCAGAGATTTACAAAATGTTGAAAAAAGTTTATGGAAAATATATACCAGCACCAACTAGTAAGGAAAAGACTTATTGATATTATGTTGAACCCTTGCATGAGCATGCGAATAGACAGTTTTCTCAAGGTTGCGCGCGCATCCAAATTTAAGGAACTTGACGGGCCACGATACCAGAACAGGAGCTTTATGAAGATCTAGAATTATTATACATTTCTATGAATTTTTTTTCGATAAGAATTCATAACATTGATTATTTTCCTCTTTAAATATAAAACTGGCTTTTTGATTTTACTGAATTTGCGTTTTTCAATTTTGTGGCCCGTCAATTTGGACGCGTTCAATCTAAAAGTTAGCCATGCCCTGACTTAGATCAGCCCATATAGGTTGTTTCAGGGTTCTATCTGTGAATTAGCCATGCCCTGACGTAGATTGGCCCAGATAGGTGGTTTCAGTGTTCGATCTATGAGTTAGCCTTGCCCTTACTTACAGCACAGAGGTTGTTTCAGGGTTCAATTTAAAAGTTACCCATGCCGTGACGTAGATCACCCCAAAGCCGTCGCTGATGGATGTTAAATTTTGTTTAACAGCATAAATTCCTTTGTAATTAAAACCATGACATTTCTATGCTTTGACTTGTGTTTAGATATTTTCTACCCACGTTGGTCAAGAAATCCTTTCTTTCGTGGTTCATACTGCGACCCAGTGCTCGGCACCACCGAAGAAGACATGACAAATCTCGGTCGCAACGTCGAAAATCTCTACTTTGGAGGCGATGCTACAACCGAGTGGTTCGGCTTCATGCAGGGTGCCTACATATCTGGTGTAAACAACGGAAAAATTGTATCAAACCTGGTCAAAAATGGGAGTCCCGTGGTTTAAAGTCGGGACACAAAGTCATCTTAATATAATGATGATGACAAATAAGTGATTCAATAAAAATTGCATTCAAACCCCAATATAACTATTGCAATTTAATGAATATTTTGGGTATTGGTTTTCCTGTGTTGTGAATACGAAAAAGGAAACTCACAACAACAACAACAACAACAACAACAAAACAAACAAAACAAAAGAAAAAAGAAAAAAAGAAAAAGGAGAGAGAGAAAAAAAAAAGAAAAAGAAAAGAAAAACAGATTCAAAAGTATAACAAAGTTTCGCAAATGTTAAAGGTTTTGTTTGGTTCGAAATGCTTCCACACGTTGCCAAAATAAGTTTATATCTCTACAGGAAAACAAACAGTCTTTATCTCGTTCGAGTTCTAGCCCTAATGCACGGTCCCTCATTTCACATCTTTTTTGGTCTCGACTGATATTTTCTTTGTTAGAACTCCCTTGTAGTATCCTTGTCATCCTTTTCTTACTTAGTAATGGCGCTGGAAGCGAAGATTTCACGTCAATATTTGAACTCTCTTTCGATGAAGAACCGACATTAGGATTTGAGTGGAGACTTCTCCAAACTGCTTGACGAAAACTGGCGAACTCTCTTTCTTCAACCTTGGTATTTTCCATGACGAGTTAAAGTTAGATTATTCAGTCTCTAAACGTTTTTCTTTTTCGAAAAGTTTAAGTAACAATTAGAATTAAAATGCATGTTTGTGACGACTGAAATGTGACGAATGAACTAAAATTTGAATACTGCATGGTTGGAGATATATCTTCGAAATATTAAAAACAAAAACAATATTAGTAGTATTCATATACTTTTATAATAATAACTATAAAACTATAATTTTTTATTGCAAAATTACGAAAAATATTTCAATTTTTTAAAATCTCGTAACATGATGGATTTTCCCGCCAAAATGACGCGCGCGCGCAAGACTAGCTGTGAATGTACGCTGTGTGTGGTGGGTGGCAAGTTTTCTATTTAAAGTTGTCTCCGACTAGAAATTTTATGCCGAAATTTCCAAAAAGTCGGTGGATAGATCAGATCGGCTGGATAGATCAGGTTTTTATAATTAACTATAGTTTTAAATTACTGCCATTTTTTAAAACGCATCCCACATGGAAAGGAGCGACTAAGGATCGTAAGAGATCAAAGACACAGGCGATGATCGGGTCTGCTGGTCATAGCAAGGGGTTAATCATCTACGGTCTAGGGGCCGACTAACCTCTCCCTTAGGCTTCGGCCTAGCTTCCTGATCAGTCTGTAAATCCAGGGATAGCGGTGTCGGGGCCGAAATCTCCGGCATAGCCGTAAATGCTTCGCGCTGCCATACTGCGCTTCAGCACTACGTCTGGAGGTATGGTCCTAAATTCTTCAATCGATAAATCAAAAACAATACCAGGAACCTATCTGCGTGGCAGTCACTCGGAGTTTTTTTATTGTGAAAAAAATTTCTTCACAATTATTTACTTTGATTCTGTTTTCACGATTAAACGATCATTACCATAAAACTCGACACATTCGTATTCACCGTTTCATTGGAAAAGGATTTTTTGTTGTTCTCAGACAGATCTTCAGAAGTTGGCAAAAGTTTCAGTTCTATTGGAGAAGACGCGAGTTCCTTGTTGGTGAACTTAACACATTTTAACAGAAACAACATAGCAGAGCCGAAGATGACGATAGCTCCTGACAAGAAGAGAGTGACGTCATAACTCCCCATAATATCGGCCAGGTAACCTGAAGTACAGATATACGATAGTTAAAATTGATTAATTGCGGTTTTGGTTATTCTGTGAACTCTGTAGTGGCAAGCTGCACGATGAAATTTGATTTGGTGAAGCCTCTGTAGAGAAATTCACCGCTCGTTGGACAATTCGATCTTCGATTTTTATCAATAGCCTGAAACAGCCTTTTTGCTGATCAAAATCTCGGCAGAGCTAAATTCACAGATTGAACCCTGCAACAACTTCTGGGCTGATCTAAGTCAGGGCATGTCTAACTCACAGATAGAACCCTGCAACAACTTCTGGGCTGATCTAAGTCAGGGNCTAAGTCAGGGCATGTCTAACTCACAGATAGAACCCTGCAACAACTTCTGGGCTGATCTAAGTCAGGGCATGTCTAACTCACAGATAGAACCCTGAAACAACCTCTAAGCTGATCCAAGTCAGGACACGGCCAACTCACAGATCAAGATTGGCAGGTTGTCGAGAAGCAATCCGCTATGCGCGCGTCGTGCTTCTCCTGACTTGTCTCGTGTTCTGCCAATCCCCGCGTGCTTTAAAACTACACACAGCACGCGTGCGCGTTTTCTATTTCTTCACGGTTGAATGATAAATTCTTAAGCACATTTGGACTGCATTTTTAGGAGTTTTTTTTGCTTCATAGGTCCGCGAACTTACCTGCAAGAGGAGGACCAATCGAAATGGTGATCCCAGTGGCGAACGAAAAGAAACCCCATCCTTCAGCCATCCGTTCTCTACCAACACATTCAAACACATTCAGCGCCACTGGAGTATTAACGCCACCATCGAAGAAACCAATCACAAGAGAGTATGCAATGAATTCCAACGGCGCACGCGCAAAGGGGAGGAGGATCGTTGCAACACCAAGGATAGCTGCGGTGATTTGAGTGACGAGGAAGGAATTGATTTTACGGTAGTTGCAGAGTTGACCGAAGATGACTCGTCCAATGAGAGATGCAAGACCGGTGTAGAAATAGTACCAAGAGGATTCATCTGTGCTTATGCCAAGCTCTTCACAGTAGCGAGCCTAAAGGGAAACAAATTGAAAATCAAAAAATCATTTGAATGAATCTCATTACCAGCTTACAATGGCAGGCAAACACTGCCCGTCATGTGCTATCAACCAGAGAGTATTCTATTGCTTGTTATCAATCAGCTAAATGAATCTCATTATCAGCCTACAATGACAGGAAAACACTACATTTAATCCCCCACCCCCTTCCTTGAAGGACCATAAACAATACATACCAAATGTGCACGCGGTACAAAGTATCCAAGCATGATAACAGTCAACGACAAAGCATAGATGGTAAAAGTCGGGATTCTCCACACGGAAAAATCCAGCAAACTAAACGGCTTGACACTCGGTTTATTCAAGTTTGCCTCATCCGTCGAGTTTGGCAAACCTTTACGAATACTTGGGTTGTAAGTACAGCCACAGAACGAAGGAATTAAGGCCACGAGGGATAAAACGGTGAACGTTGTTTGCAGACCGTAATGGCGAAGAAGAAGCTAAAAAGTATCAAAGACAAAAACATTAAAAATTTATTTGAATTTATTTGAGGAGCTGTTACTTAAGGCTCAAATATCACACGTAGCAACTGAATCTTCTCTGCAGCTTGTCTCACAACTTCGTTGGGACACAAGTTGCAAGAGTGTTCGCAATCGTAATGATGATGATGAGGGACCTCACAGTACGATCATTATCATGCCACGGAGTCGACGTATACATTAAAGAGATCAAAGACATTGAAGAGACGCAAACGTCAAAGAAGACGGCGCGAGTGCATTTTTTCGTGCGCGCGCCGTCCTCAACGTAGTTGGCGTCCTGGACAGGAAGTAAAAATGCTGCAAATGGCGTCCTGTTGAGAATGTCAACGACGTTGAGGACAGCGCTCACACGAAAAAAGGAGCTCGCGCCGTCGTCTATTGAAGTTTGCGTTTTGATGCTAAACCAGACTAATAGAGCCGACAACCGCGCGCGAGGTTATTGCTTATCCAATCAGAATACGCAAACATGACAACGTCAATGTCACGGTACGCAGGACTTTTCATTGTCATACAAAATCTATAAATAAAAAACTTACTTGTATAACAGGTATCATGATCAACATGCCACAGCTACTTCCGGCACACGTGACTCCCGTTGCTAAGGAACGCCATTTCGAAAAGTAGTCTGTCACGACGATGAACGCCGACGTGTACGCACAACTTGCTCCAAAGCCGAATATTATGGTATACGTGACGTAGATGACGGGGAGATTCGGTGCATGCGCAGTTAGGATGAGACCTAATGCGCATGTCAGTCCTCCGCCAATGGTCACTAGTCTGTAACCATAACGATTACAGAGAAGGCTAACGAGTGGAGCGAGAAGACAGGAAATAGCCAAGGCTCCGGAACCAACCCATGCTATAAATTTGTAACAGAAAAAAATTACCACATTCCTTTCCATTTTTTTGAATACAGTCGATTCTCTTTGAACGAACACTCTCGTAAGCGACCATCTCCTGTAAGTGACCACTTTCTCCTGGCCCTGAGGGTGGTCGCTTACGGGAGTGTTCGTTCAAAGAGAAAGATAGGATGATAGCCATGATAGGATACAGGAACAATTGAATCTGGTCTACGATTTACGCGAGACAAATTCAGTTTACCAGGGAAAAAAGACTTTATTAGTGTCCCTCCTTTCATGGCTGCCACCACGCGATGGTGCAAAGCGTTTATAGCTAGTAAACTTGGTAACATGATTATGAAGAAATGACTAAGTAATTTATTTATTCAGCCATGCTTCGTGGAAGCCTCTCTAGTGCTGTGACGTCGTTGGTAATCGTATTCTAATGTCCTCATGATTGGTTCGAGAAGTTACTGACGTCACTCGAAAACAAAATGGCGGCCAAGTAAGATTCGTTAACTTTGGATCGGCTCTTGAATTGTTCAGGAATGAATGACATAACTTGGAAATCAACAAAGCATCCCGAAAAATCTTTTGAAGAATTTCCGCTTCGTTCTTTTCTTTCTAAAAATCTTGATATATATCGCGATACTTCAGTGTAGCACGAACCATCTGAACTTATGAGGCTCCGAAATGACTTCGTTTTTTCTCCCCTTTGAATCGAGTCAAATCCAGCGCTTTGTGACGTCACAAATATGCTAATCAGCCTTGATGATGTCATAATTGGATTAAGCAAAGTCGAGATGAGGAGATTAGATCAATGCGAGAGTTTGAATTCATAACAAAAAAGCTTTAGTACAATTCTGAAATATTTGGGTGTAAATGTCCATAACGTGAACATTGAAAATGTTCTTGATTCGCAGTGCACCATGGGAAGTTAAATATTAAATCCGAATTTAGAAAGGACCAGCTAACTTGCTTTTATAGCAACGCTCACGTAAACCTTTGACAAGGCTAATGCCCTGTAAATCACAGTTATCAAAAAGAGAGATATTTTTTAGAAGTCTTAAATATAGAGCGTTAGAGTCGAAAAAGGCTGCGAAAAAAGGAAACAAAAAAGTAGTAATTTGACCTCCGACTTGGCCTCCGTCATCGAGCTCAGCATACTATCTATGTACACACATTTTAGATTACAAAAATAAGAATATTCGGCTGCAATTATACAAAAAAATCTACTGGTTAAAATGTGTTTCTTAATGTTGCAGGATGTATTGTATTCTGGGTTATTGTATTGCAGGGTATTGTTTAGCTCCAAACTCATTGTTCTCGGCTATTGTTTTATTGTCTTCATGGCTCAGGTGTGCCCTGCAACACCAAGAAAGAGCTGTTAAAATAAGCAAGATTTGTTATTTAACTCTTATTTACCACACAACTAAAATCACAATTGATTTAAGCATATTTAGTTTTTACAAAACTTATCAGTGAAAAAGCTGAGTTTATAAAGTTTAGATTATTTAAAGAACTTAAAAACAGGAAAGTGAAAGAATTTATTTTATTAACCTATCTATGTAATGCGTACCCTTTATACTTTGGAGTACCATTTTTTACTTTGAAATACATACATTATCAATTATTGATACTCAATGTACATTATATTTTCAACGTTTCATTGTTATATTTAGGAAATGTAATACGCATAGTCTTAATACTTGTTGGCTATTGCATTATGGAGGAAGAGTACTTTTTATCTTGGGCGTAATGTTTTCCCATTTCAGACCATGTGTCATTCTCTTGGAGCCAGCCCGCACCGCTTGGAACGAGTTACATGATTGGATTAAAAAACAATAGATTGGTCATCCAAACAATAGCACTAAACCTAACCTTACAAAAGCGGTACTGTACTTAGGGAGCAATGAAAATCCAGCTTTCGAGCGGTACTGGCTTACTCTTCTATTGAGAATAATATTATTCGTATGAGTTGTATCCATATTCATGTGTCTTCTCATAGACCTTTTACGAGAAGACAAGCATTTTTTTGATAGCAAACATGATGCATTGTGGTCTAGCTTGGGTACAAACATCTTTTATTCATCATGGTGTTGTTCGTACAAAATCTAGACCACAATGCATCCTGCTTAACAAACGTTAAAAGAAACTATGTGTAACTGTTAAAGAATGAAATGATACTCAAGAGAATGACATACGGTCTTATGGAAAAACAAGCTTAAAGTTAGGATAACAGGAGCATAAAAAGAAATGGCACAAATTCCATCAAGGTACTTGTGATTCCTTTTGTATTTTCCTGTTAGCCTTGCATTTGCGATAATTTTGAAGTGGACCTATAAACAATTCTGTATTTTACATGTAAACTCTACATTTCAATTTATAAATATTGAATAATAATACTGATATAAATATTAATATTCTTGTTGTTGAGAAGTCTGAAAAGGAGAAATTTTTTGTCATCGTATTAATACTTTAATAGCAATTACTATCTATTATTATCTAATTAGTGTGATTTTATTTTGCCTGTGAAAAAAAGTTGTATAGAGGCTTTGCAGCATCACGTGGTGGCAGCCATCTACAGCCATGAGTTTAGTTAGGATCATCTTTGAAATGTTTATAGAACAACATGATTGCGATAGCCATAATATTCAAGGTACCTGTGACAAAACAATAATCAAGTATTAGTTGTAGTGTATCACCCTTAACAAAAATAAACTAAATAATAATAATCTTTTATTTGTTAGAGCAGTCTGATTATTTTGGCAGCTTTCGCTGATGTGGGCCTGCTTTTACTCACACACACTACCGTTTCATTTACTATTTTATGCACACAATGCTTGACTCACATGTTGGTTTTTAGGGAGGGAGGAATACCAGAAAACTGGCAGAAAAACCTGTCATGGCAAGGGAGAGAATAACACATCAAACAAACTCAATTCACATCTGGCATTCACAGGGCTTGAACCAGCAATCCAACCACTTGGACTCACAGCGGTTAAAGACAACTTATTAGCAGCATAAGCCACCCAGCACTAAAGCAAGTGTGGTTCAACTAACAACAACTGAATGGTCATGTGGTATAAAATAGGACAACATCAAACCAAATAAGATGAATGAGTCTATAGATAATTATTATGACAAACACCTTACGTTATATTCTTGGAATTCAAAGGCAGGGGCTCTTTTTTCTTGAGTTTAGGTTTGGATCTTTTTCTTTTCTTTAATTTTTCTTTTGCTTTTGCCTCTGCCCTTTTTTTCTTTAACCACCTAAAAAGACATCCAGAAAAAATATAAATTAACAGTTATAGCATAAGTTAGTATGCTTAAGTTTTACAGTACAACACACCTACAACCATGGCCACCCAACTTATTTTTTACCAGCGCCGTTAAATCCTTTCCTGCCAAGTGTTTCCATCAATTAAAAGACTTTTTATGAAAGTATCCAGCATTAGCCAGCAAAGGGACCAAAATTTCTTTAAGCATTTTGGTGAAATATAATTTTAAATATTTGTGATCATGCTGAGTGATTTCATGTGCAAATGCACAAATTATCGCTGTCTGATTGGCTAACTAGTAAAAAGATAAGTTGTTTGGCCACTGTTAAACACATCGCACTGTAAGGATTAAGTTTTTAACACCATTGATCAAGATAATCACGTAGAAACAAGACATTAAAATTTTATTGAAACTAGAGTACAAACACTAAAGGTGTGAGAAACTTTGCACTATTTAGTAGTAAATAGTGCTAATTAAACAATAGAAAACAATAGGATTAGCATATTTTATTAGTATTTAGTGGTATTTATGTTACACACTTATAGTGTTTGTACTCTACTACAACTTAATTTAATATTTAGATTGCTAGCTGTGCAGTTTACGTGTTATTACAGTTAGCTTGTGTATAGCAAGCAGTACATGGGATTTTTTCTTCTTTACATTAATTTTGTAAAAAAAATTCAAAAAATGCACAAAATAAAGATTGTCATTATCAAGGAGTAAAAACATTTCTTTAATGTACAGTACCTTCGAAAAGCCTCGTCACATAGCTGTCTGTCTCTGATCATAAACTGTCGGGCCTCTTCTGACTGTCTTCGTTCTTCATATTCTCTTGTGACCTTGTACTGCTGTCGCTTCGATGCAAGCCAATCCTCATATGCTTGTTGTGCTTCTATTGTTTTTCGTTCTCTTAGTGAATCATCGGTTTTGTTTAGTTCTTCTTGTCTCTTCCGTTCTCTTGCTTCCTCTAATTTTGCTGTTAACCATGCCTAAATATGGAATAAATAATGAAGCATGCAAGTTGAGTGTTTTCGTAAATAATGAATGTTGTGGTAGTACATGGTATGTACCTCACATTTAAGAAGTGGAACAACATGATATATCCTCTTCAGATGATAAAAATACTATAACAGGATGGTAAGAATCAAACGACCAGAATCATTCGTGGTTTCATTTTGTAATTTTTTAAAATTTTTTGGTACTTCACAACATACCCTTCTAAGACCCTCCCCACCCATTGGAAATTACAATCCCCCTCTGTGGTGGAGGTATGGATATTTTATGGAACTACACAATATACCCTCCTCATACCCTCCCCCTCCCTTGGGCATAACAGTCCCCATTTGTGAGTGAGGTATGGATATTTTATGGAACTACACAAGGTACCCTCCTCATACCCTCCCCACCCCTTGGAAATTACAATCCTCTCTGTGAGGGAGGTATGGATATTTTATGGAACTACACAAGGTACCCTCCTGAGACCCTCCCCACCCCTTGGAAATTACAATCCCCTTCTGTATGGAGAGGTTAAGGCTATTTTCTAGTATTATGCAATAAACTAAGTTTTTCATTCAGAGAAAAAAAGATGGTGAACAAAAAGGATGATAAAAAGAGCCCCGTTTAGTAATGAGTAAGAAATACAAAAAGGCAGCCATCAAACAATGACAAAAACCCTTGAGAGTAAGAAAAACACTTCACAGCACCTGGTCATTTTCATCTACATCTCTTATAATCTCATCTTCTGTCACATGTATGTTTCTGTGCCTTATTACGTAATGCTGATAACATGCAGAGCTTAGAATGATGGCCAGACATCAGACAATGTCCGGCCAGAACTATAACTTATCAGGTTAAATCTTTGCCTTGTCAGTCATTTTCAGCAGTAATGTTTAGCCAGAAATGAGGTACAACTAAGCTAAAATTAATTTGACCTGTGATAATGACTGGTAAATGATCGAACATTATTTTAAGCCCTGACATGTATGAAATAAAAATTGTTGTCCAGGCCGAAAGCAACAAGCTCATGAGCAAGAAGATGACAAACAAAATGAGAATTGATGTCTCGTAATATATTCAAACCAGATTTAGTTCTATAGGACTATGAGTGCAATAAGTGGAAATTTTCATTGTCTGTAGTTTTTTCCATAAATTGAAATAAATCAGGCTTGATTAAATTCACGAGACAATCCAGTCATTTGCTGATCAGCTTCTTGCTTTCAGCATAGACAATGTTATTTTGGAATTGCTTATTATAAACAGTGTGACTTTTTGGAGTTGAAAGGGGGCAATTAATATGCAATATTGACTTTTAAGTCAAAACATGTCATGACAATTTCTACTGCCTGAAACTACGAGTCAAGATACACATACAACGTTCAAGATCTCTCCAAGCTTCAAAATGTTCCTAAGTTCAAACACAAATATTACCAAAAGTGATGTCTAACGATAGTAAAAAGTAGGTGTATGCGCAAAAAAAAAAAAGGTGTCGGCCAGTTTTGCCAGACAGCAAACTTTCTGATAGTAGAGAATAGATGTACGCCCCAAAAAAATGTTTGTCGGGCCAGTTTTGCCAGATGGCATCTAATTCAACTTTCTGATGACATAGTAGATCATAGTTAATTAATTAATATTAACTATGAGTAGATTAATTTCCATGAAAGAATACCCTCTAGTCGGCACCCCTGCAGATTACTAATTATCAGGAAACACTATTAATCTGGATAATCAATATATCAGATCAACTCTCAGACAGTAAAAAAGTAAATTATTTTGGAATTTCAAGGTTTTCTGTTATCAAACTCATTAATAATTATTCATGAGACAAATTATGAAAAAAACAAAATGTGCAGAAATCTTTGTGAATTGGATACAGAGGTCATTTGTTTTTGACTTGAATATATTGATTTTTTGTCTTTTAAAATTTTTTAGAGCAATTTCATTTCTCTGCTATCTTTATCTGTATGTTACAGCTTCCACTGTGTGCGCCTAGACAGATCGACTAATATCATATCAGGGACCCCTGTAATTCACCCCAGGTTGTAGATTTCTAGAATTATCATAGGTGAATTGTAATGAATCTGATGATGATAGTGAGGATAAGAGAGATTAGCCAGTATGGAAAAAGAGCAACGCATCCCACGGTAAAATGATTAAATCTACAGCTGTTTTCTTTTAGAAACAAAGTTAGGGAGTCAAAAATAATCACATTACGTACATGACCAAGGCTATAGATATTCAAACAATTCTAGCTACAGGAACAATATTATTAGAGCTATATATTAGCCCTACCTGTTAATAAATAGTGGATTTTACTAAATATAGGAAAACTTACACACAGATAATTGATAATTCTATTATTATAGAGGCGTACCTGAAATGCTCTTTCAGCGTCTTCTCTTTTTCGTCTCATTTCTTCCTCTTCTCTCTGTTTCTCTTCTTTCTTTCTTTTAGCTATCGCTTCTTCTCTCCTTCGTTTTATTTTCAACTGTTCTTCAGTCATACCGTAGACTGATTTAATGTGAGAGTAGTCATCATTACGCGAGCTAAGCTTCGCACTTGTGCTTCTTCTTTCGGGACTTCTACTACTTCGTTGATCCTTTCTTCGTCTATAATCACCAATGTTCGTTGTTTTTGGTCTTGGTTTACTTGGAGGCTTCTCTTCTGGTCTTTTTGGAGAGTTTTTTCGTTTTTCTTCGCCGTTAGCAACGCCATTGCTCTCGTCCGTCGTCTCGGCTTTCTTTTCCCCGGGGCTCAGCCCCAGCATTTCAAAGTATTCCGCCTTGATCTCACCAACATCAACAAGTTCGAACTTCCCGTCCCGTTCTATTAAAACTCGATCTCCAATCATTTCAAGATTGGCGGGTTTCTCTTCCGATTCTTCTTCATTACTCTTTCTTTCTTCTCCGTTCACGTGTTCCTCGACATCTTCACCCTTCGACTCTTGACCCTCTTCTGTTAACGATAATTTTCGGTCCAACTCATCAGCCAAAATCCCTTCTCCACTAGCTTCTCCATTGACGTGTACTCGACTTTCTCCATTTATAGTAGCTTCTCCATTAGAATCCTTCGAAGATTCTATATCTTCCTTCGATTTTAACAGAGCTCGCGGAATGAATTCTTCTTCGTCTTCAGACGTGTTTCTTGATGGCGAGGTGATAGAGATTTCTACCCCACTTCTCGGCTCACTTAGTAAACTTTCTTCCATTTCTATCAAACAATACAAAAACTAGCTGTAGGAAGAAATCAGAGTCATTATTTGTGATGATCTGTTGAAGAAATTCAAGACGCGAATGCGAGTTGTTTTGATCGTAGACTGTAGCAACCTAAGTCACGTGACAAAACAAAAATACCACAGGAAACCCAATCGCCTAACAACACCATCGCAAAAGCCGATATTTTTTATTTAGTTTAAAAAATTTTAAACTGTAAAAATCTTACACGAGACTAAATAATGAAAGTGATTCTTTACATTCAATTAGAAGAAAAATGAAATTTGATATAAATTACATTTTTTATATTCTTTTGCCTACTCTTTACAGATTTTCTTTCTTTTTTAATCCTTTTTTCCAGACTAAAAACTTATTATGTACTGTACATTAACTTGTTTTTCTTTCACATTTAGTCTATTACAATCACAGTTGGTTCTAAAGGAATAGGTTTTCTAGTAGGATTTTCTTTGACAGCCGTATTAGAATTCCCAGTAGTGGTAATAGCACTGATACTAGTGAGAGGTATTCTTTGCTTTTCTTGCTTGACATCTGCGCTGGTTTCATTCATATTTGCCTTGTTTCTATTAGCACTGGGCTGCCCATTACTATCATCCTGCTTGGTGGAGGTCAGCAGAGTAGAGAGTATTCTCCCCTGCACTGGATTAACAGAATCGTTATTCTGGTTGTCAATGGCCAAAGGTCCAATTTGTTTAGCCATTGAAGGATTTTGGCCGTCGAGTTGGTTGCCCTCAATTCCTTTCGATCTAACAGACACTTGTTTAGGTGCATTCGCAACAGTCATTAATGGGACCCTTCTTGGCATAGTTTGCAAGATAGTTGGTTGAGTTCCCAGACTGCCTGTTGCTGCTGTCGTCATAGCAACAGGGTTTGTCGTCAAAGCAACAGGGCTTGTTGTCAGAGCAACAGGGTTAGTTGATACAGGTGTGGTTCCTGCCTGCAAACTAGTTGTCTGTCCTGGCTTTGACAATGTTGCTTGATTATTTTGAGGCTGTCCAGTGTTTTGTGTGTTACTTAATGTCTGTCCCACACTAACAGTTGTCTGTCCAGGAGGGACAGACACCAGCTGTATACGTCTAGTTTGGGATTGAACTGTCTGTCCAGAACTAATGGATGTCTGTCCAGGAAGAGCAGTCACTGACTGCATGATAGGTTGAGCTTGAACTGTCTGTCCACCAACAGGTGTCTGTACAGAAGGAATTGTTGTGAGCTGCACTTGCATAGGCTGAGTTTGAACTGTCTGTCCATTACTGACATATATCTGTCTATGACCAATGAATGTCTGTCCTTGAGGAACAGTCACTAACTGCACACGTCTAGGCTGAGCTTGTACTGTCTGTCCAGGAACAATAAGTGTCTGTCCTTGAGGAACTGAATAATGAATGTTACCAACAGAATTCACTGATGGAACACTGTTTCCTCTTTGCATCACTTGACTTGGCATTGCCGTCACTAACTGCACTCCTCTAGGTTGACTTTGAGCTGTCTGTCCAGACACTAACATCTGTCCAGCTCCTTGATTGGTTGGTACCATTGGGACAAAATTAGCAGGCTGCACATTATTAATAAGTGACTGTATTGATGCTAAAGCTGGGTCAGCTTGGCTCGTTGTCACTAGCTGCACACATCTAGGTGCAACTGCCTGTCCACTATTTGGTTTGGTTGCTGCGACAGCATAATCTGACTGACTCGAAGGTACTAATTGGACTCTTCTGGGGGTAAGCTTATTCTCAGGGGGTTTTGTTGGTGTTATGGTTTCAATCTCAGACATTGGGACAGTGAACTTATCAATCTGTGGTGTGTCTTTCTTCTTTGGGATAATGTCCTCTGGTGTTTCATCAATGTCCATTTTTTGATGGACAGGTGTCAGAATGACCCCCTTTTGAACTTTACCTAATAAAACAATACATTTTAATTTTCAACATTCAAATATTGGAAACCAGTATATATGCTGAATTTGTATCCCACTATAAAAAGTCATTGATTGGTTGATTATATGTGGACTGCGTAGCACTTATGAAATACAAGATATAGAAATATAGATAAGTTATAGTGCTTGGGAATGAGGTTATTCCGGCAAAAGACCCCTGGAAATAAATTCAGAAAAATTAATTTCTGACCTCGCTGGGAATCGATTGATTGATTTAAATATCATAGTACCTGTAGCAACAGGGATCTCTGCTGGTGTACTTGGAAGACTTGAATTATTAAGATTATGAAATTCAGTAGGATTTTCCAGCACGTCTTTGACTGTCTTTTCGTATGGAGTGCCAAGCTCATTCTCTTCAAACTGAACCATGGAACAGTAGCCATCAGTGGATGAAACAATAAGAATCTTGCCATCATTGGACCTGATAATTTAAACACCAATTATATGTTTGAACATAATGCATAAGTTAAGACCATAATATTCTATGTGGTTCTAGAAAATATCCATACCTCCCCCACATAGGGGATTTCGAATTTCCAAGGGGTGGGGAGGGTCTGAGGTTGAGGGTATATTGTGTAGTTCTAGAAAATATTCATACCTCCCCCACAGAAGGGGATTCAAATTTCCAAGGGGTGGAGATTGTCTGAGAAGGGTATATTATGTAGTTCTAGAAAATATCCATACCTCCCCCACATAGGGGATTTCGAATTTCCAA